CGTGCGTCGTCGTCGCCACCTTCGGCGCCGTTGCTGCCATTGCCACCGTTGTCCTTCTTGTCGTCATCGTCATTGTCATTGTCATTATCGTCGTCGTTATCGTTGTCATCATCATCATCGTCTTCGCCGTCAATGTCGTTCTTGTCATTATCGTCGTCCATATCTTGTCGAGGTACAACCTCAAAGTAGCAGCTCCCTCCATTCGCTGACGGAGGATACGGAGAACCCGTAATTGTAACTTCATTTGGGGCTAATTTCGGTCGGAGGGTATGATGAAACGCGGTAATAATTGCGTTATCCAGACAAAGGACGGTTATGGATACGCGCCGCCGCCACTGCCGGCGTTTCCAACGTGGAGGCACCATCCCCCAGATCCTCCGCCCACCCCCGAGGGTGCTGCTGTGCCGGATAATGTAGGAGGGCCTCCTTCCCTTTCGCTCCCGCGCACCGCAAATATGGCTGCTTTAACGAAGTCCACGACCATGGTGCACCATATTGTTCTCCCTACAGCCATGTGTGTGCCGCTATTCGCTTAAACACCAACATCCTATCGCCCTTCCAGAAGAGAAATCTTTGATTTTTAACTTGGTACTCAAAACCATCTTGTTATATTCTTTCAAATAAATAGTCAAAATATAAAGTACCATTTTGTTCTATCAAAAACTCATTTTAGAACGACGTTTTCAAACGACGTTTTGGATTGTAATTTCTTCAAGCATGTTCTCATATTATTGAGATAAAATATCATCAACGCAGATTTGTCGCAGGAATTAGTTTTCTGCTAAGAATGCGAAATGGTAAACCAATTCCTTTGGTAGACGAGTTGAAGTCGAGATGACAAATGCGACAATTTGACGGCTTCCTGGAGGAGAAGAGTCCTCCCGCGGCACTGCCAGTGGAATGGTAAATAAGCTCGTCGGGGGTAGGCAGAGTATTATTTATGGGGATGTAATTTAATAACCGAAAGATGAACAGGGAGATATAGCGGTGATGCCGGCCGGAAAGCCGAAAGTGGCATGAAAGTAACAGCCATCCCATTGGCTGTCCCTCTGTGTCTTTCTATGTCCTCCAGGAGAGCAGCCAGCCATATGGCCCGGGCCGTTCGTGCGCCGCCACCTCGGGAGATTCCGGGGGTGCGAAATGATATGGAAGTAATGGAGAGCGAAGCGGAGCCGGTTGCGCCTCGACGGGAGATTGAGTCGCGCGATAGAAACGAAGCGACGCTGCCGCGCACCGGCACGAAAGAGCGATGACAGATTGATACAATTCCGGCGAGATTCGATGCGACAGATTTCCTGCCAACTGTTGTCGCCGCGCTGGTCATTACGTCGAATTAAAGTTACGACTAAAAATGTGATCGATCGTGCGGGGATCTCCGAGATCGCTTTTAGATCTTATTCATCCTTCTATTTTAAATGGACCTTATTGTGAATGGAATTTTAATTTATCGAATAATTTGTCATTTGAAAAGTAGGAAATAAGATCGGTAACTACGTGAAATTAATTATTAATATTTGAAGAACAATTCTTGGATCTTCATCGCATAAAGGAGCTACAAGCTCAATTTCTAATTCAAACATTGTCCAACGCTAGTATCCCGCGAACGAAGGATTCTCGACCGGAACAACAGGAAGTCAAGGGAGCGGTGGCTTCTTCCTTTGGCTCTGATATCGACTCTGTCGTAACTTGCGGCTTCGAAGGCGAATGCGAGAGGCACGCGAGAGCGTGACGTCGGGGGCTGCGTTGAGGAAACGAGAAGGAGGCTGTGAACCCGGCGTAAAGCTCTCGGGCGAACCTCGCTCCTTATCGATCTGCTCCTGAGACTCCTCCGACTAAGAAGGAGGGAGAGAGAGATCGACACCAAGAAAGCGAGAGAGAGAGAGAGAGAGAGAGAGAGAATGGCTTGAGAGAGGGGCGGTGGGCCTTTGCGGGTTTGTATACGTGTAAGATAGACCTCGGTAGAAAGTCGCCTACTCGACCGTGACTCCGCAGCCGAAGCCGAGCCTATCAATATTTTCTCCCGAAATTCACCGTAGCTCCTTCGGCAATCCTTCTCTCTTTATATTTTTTTTTAGATACTCCCGATTTCATCTTTGTCGATGTCATATCCTCATAATAGATGCGTCCGCTTTTTCGATAGTGCACGACATTATATGCTTTTGATGTTCTAAATTTCTTTCATCTTCCTTTTTTTAATTACTGATGAACATATTTACATTAAACGATTTCCAATTAATTTTACTCTTTTGATCCGTTAAATATATTAAATAAATTGGGGACACGAAATTCCTTTTACTAGAAAATTCCTTTTACTAGAAAAAGAAAAGCTATATCTTCATAAAAACCATGCGAAGGAAACGTTCTTTTTTAATCACGACAAGCATTCTGCGTTTCATAAAGAGCGCGCAACGAGAACAATAGGAAGAAGTCGCTGCGTCGGCGTCTTTAGCGAATAAAGAAGAGGCTTGGAACTGTTAGCGTCCAATCTTCTCTCCGTTTTTCGCCTATTTTTTCGCTCTCCTCAATCCTGTCTCATACACGGGATATATAACTGTTATTTTTCGCGAAAACCACTCCATTATTTCGCTCTTCTGGTCCGCCTTTTTTTACCTCGCACGACTTCCATGCTGCTCTTCTACTCTCGCTCTTTCTCTTTCTATCCCGCGTTCGCGGACGGTCTCATTTCGAAGTGCTCCGGCAAAGCAAGACAATACATTATATTAGCTGTATCATTATTTCTCTACCCCGAAGCTAGAAAAACCGGGACATGCTCATAATGGGAGAAATCTCGGTATACTACGCGCTCCGGTCGATGATGCACCCAGTTCCTGTTTCTTCGCGGCGAAATCCCATTTGATATCGAGACCATTCTCTCTCTCTTTGCACTCTTTTCTTTAAACTAACTTCCAGCTGCACCAAAGGTTCGTCGATGAAAGCACAATCGATTGATTTGAAGATTTTCTTTTTTATTTCCTATTCTCTCGTTTCTATCTCCAGTTCCCTTTTGCTTTACCAATTGTCTACTATTGTCGCAGTATTTGTTCGTGAAGCTTATACGAGATAAAGTCGTAAAATGTCAATCTCTGCTCCATCATGCCATTTGGATGATTTTGCTTTCCCTTCTCGAAACTGCACTGTCATCTCAATGAATTTCATATCTGTCTATCGGATAGAAACTATATTTACTTCGACGCTTTGCGGAATAGCAATTAAAGTCTTTCTCGTTATCAATCGTTATACAATTAGCCTGCGGGGAGTACTGAGTGCGTGGGCATTTTCTAAAGGGACTCAAACGTGCGCGCGTTTCTATCCGTTGCTCGTCGAACGGAAATGCATTTACTTGTACCGAATGGATAGGGCGGAAGGTTGCGGGTTCGGTGTACGTGAGTGGGTGATGGTACGTTGGATAGGTGCATGTAGATAGCGAGCGAGCAAGATAGGTAGGTAGGTAGGTAGGTAGGTAGGTAGGTAGGTAAGTATCCGCGGAGTAAGTTTTTCCAGGCGATCTGCTCTCCGGATTCAGATCAATACCCGCCATCTGGGCCTCGAGTCAGGGGATAGGGACAAGGAGGAAAAGGAGTAGTGGTGGCGAGAAGGAGACCGTGGCCAAAAAGAGGAGGCGAAAGCAAGAGGGAGCGAGGAGTCAGGAGGAGGCGAGAGCGTGTGCCGGAGGTGGAGCTGGAGGTGGAGGAGTCACTCGAGCAACAAGCCACCGCCGCACCCTCGACTGCAATCCTAGACACATCGAAAACCTCGGCCAGAAAGTAATTCCTGTACCTACACACGCCCACGTTTCACGCTACCGTGACCGCACGACGCGAATAGAGGAAGAATGAAAATATGTGCGAGGTAACTCTTATGATGACAAAGTAAGCTTGACGAAACACCAGGGAATGTGACGGGGAGACGTTAATTGCTTTCTATTTGGGTAACCACTGTTATGCGAGTTTATTAAAACTTTCTCTCGTGGCGTAACAATTACTTTATAGCTTAAGCTTTATCGTACGAAGAAAATCGTGAAAAAGAAAGGAAAAGAAAAATTAATTAAATCAAAGATTACCATTTCATGATCGAATTGAAAGAATGAATTTTTGCGGCGATTGAGATTCTCGGAGGAGAGTATATCGCAAATGTAATTGTGGCTAATCTCTCGCGCGCAACCGCGACGCGGAATTTAAATAAGCGGCGGCGCATAGCACTTACGTTGTTACGTGGGCGCTAACTCATTTGCGTGTGTTTCCATTAGCGGCTGCGGCCCACAGAAATCGCGTTAGTGAATTTCACTTGCCAGCAATTCGATTCGCATTACGCTCTATTTCATTATCGGCTGCGTAAGCGCGAGAAAGACGGAGTGAGATAGCCTGGCCCTTGCAAACCAGGCGGGAGATAAGGTCTTAAGTAGTGACTGATTAAATCTCGGGACATATGCGAGCCGATCAATGGTACCCTGGTATCTCCTTCTCTCGGCTGCTTCTCTCTGCCCCTTCCTGTCCTACCTACCCACGCATTCCTTTTCCCGCTGTGTACCCTTGTAGCTTTTCAGTTGGCCGAAAGGGGATTGAGTCGTTCAGTTTGTGCGGTGCTGATACGCTGTAATGCTGTCCCATGGGAGCTCACTCCCCCTCGCTCTCGTAAGGGCGGCCCTACAGCCTAGAGTACTCGTGTTCCGTTGGCCTGCCGCATCGTCGGGCGACGCAAAAACACTTGAATTAATCGGCCCGGTCCCGAAGGAACCTGCGAAAGGTCAATAGGATCGGGGTGACGGGCCGAAGCGTACTTATCTCGATGCACATGCGAAGGGTGCACGCGAACTCTCCGCGCGCGCGAATAGCTGATCGCACCCCTATCGCTGATGATCGGTTGAAGCATATGTCGCGATTCCTCGGGTAATCACCAGGAACAACGTAATCTTGTCTTTCGCCAGCAATTAATGAGATGAAGTGACATTTTTTGATAAAACTGTGTCTTTATATATAGAATAGAGTGTCAACATAACTCACCGATTGATGGAAGAGACGGATGGCACGTTGTCCTGCGAGCAAATGCCTTCAGCCAGTAACCTGTCCCTAATCTCCCACGCAAACATCGTCGGATTGTCCCTTTTATAATTAGCAATCGCGTCGACGACCGGCGGCGTTGCTACTTTCGGCTTGGAGCCTCCTATGACACCGGCTTTGAAGCTACCGGTCTCATAATACCTACAAAATAAAATTCACGTAACATTACAATTAGTTTGATATTTTATGAAATAATCGCAATACTTGGAAGGAAGAAATCTTTTGATCTGTCTTAAACTGTATTCGAAAGCGCAGTGTCGACAAGAAATTGGTCGCCAAAGTTCGTATTTTGTCTCTTTCTCTTTTGCCCTATTACAGTACACGGGAGGTCGAGAGGGGAAAAAGAGAGAGGAACGAACGTTTTTCCCGCGGTGGGCGGCCAACGTCGGAATAACGAATCACCGTCCAGCGGCGCGTCAACGACCGGCTGTTTTAAAACAAACGGCTTCTGGCCTCCCGCTGTTACCTCCCTCTCTCTGCTCTTTGAATCTCTCTTCGTCCCTCTCGTTCTCTCATTCGTTCCTCTTCTCTCGGGCCTCCCACCGGCGGGGTGCGTATATATGCGCGCGAGATGGGCAATCGCGATTGGCCCGCCGTGAACGCGCCCTTTGTGCCTAATTAGTTAAATAATATCTTCGCTCGTGCTTAAATTCAATTACGTCGGATAGCCCGCAATAATGGTTCGCTTGTGGGCCGCCTTGATGGATGTGGGTCCGCCGCCGGCGTCGGCGTCGGCGTCAACGTCGACTCATACCGGCTGGATATCTGGCCAATTTTACGTGCATGCATACGTACGTGTGCGTGTACTGCAGAACATGAACATGCTCCAGTATTAGACTTTCGCGTTTTTCAGTGAAAAATATTTGCGCGAATAAAAGCGTCGTAACAGGTTTTTTGCGTTGCATGTCACAGGAAAAATGGGTTTCGGATTGTTGAGCCGAATTATGATTCTTTGCGACAATCTGATCTTTTATATGAATTTTGATTGTTGTAGAGGGATGAAAATTTCAATTAAAAATATAACATTTTTATTATTACAAAATGAATGATGTCATTCTTTGGGGAAAAATTTTAAATATTTTGTTATTATGAGATTACATTGAACTATCGATTGCTATTTATCGTATGGTCGAAATATAACACTTAGTCGTGAATGCATAGTTAGAAGTTATTACACAATCGGATAGCCTTTAACAGACCTGGGTCTCGTCACCCCCACGAAATTATTGCGATCATATCTGGTGTAAAACCCCATTTCAGGCCCACATGGCAATGCTCACCCGTTAATATTTTGTCCCCTTTGTTCCGCCTCCACCGTGAAATGGCTATTAGATCGCGCGATTTTTCAAATTGCCTTGCCGTCGCCGGCGTGTTACTCACCCTTGCTGTATTAATTCAGATTTAAATGGATTCGAAACAGTCTTGCGCGAAATCGAAAATATCACCTCCGTGAAAAAATGACATTATTTACGTCTATCATTACAACGTCGCGATACTTCGTGTTGACTTTCACATTAACATTTTAAGTAAAGGTTGCCGAAACACGCACGTTTATGATAGTAATAATAGAATAAGTTTCTAAATCTGAATCAGTAAATAATTACTGAATCTCAATTATGTCATTGATAATCAGTGAATACACAGTGAAATTCAACTAAAAAATCAATGAAATGTAAAATCTCTAACCTATAGTTAATCTTGCTTTAGTATATAAATTTAATTTACATTTAAAAAACTACTAAATTTTAATAAATATTTGTTAAATAATTCTAAGTAAATATTTACTAAATATAAACATATAAGTATTTAATAAAAACTATTATGTTGATATATTTATTTAACAAAGACCATTAATTTGATTTAACTATCACTTTTTTGAACAATTGAGCATTGAGTAAATACTTATTTACTGTAAATAAATATTTAGTTAGTACTATTCAAAGAAATATGTATTAAGATTTGGTAAATTTTTTTAGTGTATATTAAAACTAACGTGCAAATATCGGTATTTTAATTATATAACACTCAAAACTTTCTTTTTCAGTTAAATTTCACTGATTGAAATTTAGAAAGTATAAAAAAAATTTAATCAATCGCTAATCAAATTACCTATAAGTTAATAAGACATATATTCGTGATGTCATAACGCGAGCGAGAAAAAAGACATATTGTCAAGTTTGCACGCTAGTAAAAGACTTTTTCCAAGATTCGAGTCATAACATTTCACATAGTCCCCAGAATTCGCGGCGTATCTAGAATACAGAAGCGGACCTCACAAGCGTATAACATAAAGGACAACAAGACGACGATCCCTCTCACGTTTCTTCCTTCAAACGTAACCCTAAAGAAGAAGAGCACTTTGTATCTCTCCTACGCGACAGTCAGAAAAGGTTTTCCGGGCAAACGGGAGATGACTCGATTTCGTGGGGTCACCGGACTTTTCAACGCCGTCTTCGTCAACGATTTTACGAACCCTCGCCTAGACTGCCTAGAGTCGAAAAAGTCCCAGTATCCGGTTTCGCTTATAAGATTCGGCGAACGGAGCATTGCGACGCGCGGCGTTCTCGTTCCATCAGCGACGCGTGACTGCGTAAACCGTGCGTCGGTGTTAACGATGTCGCGTCAGTGTCGTCGACAGGTCCTATGTTTTCACTGTACTTTCGGGTCATAAAGTCACATCCGCACACATCACGCGGAAGAACTATGTATTTAGATGGCACAAGCACTAAGTTCTCCACTGTCTACATTTAAATTTAGGAGCGCGCGGAACTCCGAAAATCGTAGCACTTGTATCAGGCTATTAATAAAACTACGTTATTATCTTTCAATACTCACGACGTAACTTCCGGATCCTTCGGTGCTGAGACCGAAGATTTAAATTGCGCGAAATTCGATCTCTCAAATTTTGACACGCAAATGAAATTCGACCGACGGATCGTGCACGACGTTCGCATTGTTAATGACGAAATCTCGTTTCTCTGACTCGATCCTAGCTCAAAAAGGGGTCTGTGACGAAGAAAGGAAAAGGAAATGGTAACTTCAGTCGTGGCAGTAAATAATCCAGTCGGCCTTTATTATGCGGGATTCATGAAAGAGCGCGTATATGACAATGATATTCGGTCGGGGGACGCGAATGACGTTCGGACCATCAAAGCGGCACGAGGCCACCCGTTATATAGCGGAGCGGGGGTCTGGAGGGTGGAAAAAACATGAAAACCGCATATCGTCGAGCACCCCCGCATCGCGAGGGTATGAGGACTGGTTCCTTCCTTCCGGCGTCGTCGTCTCCTCGTTCATCCCTCGGATTCATTCGTTTCGCGTTCCTAACAGCGTCTTTAATTAAATTGCTTCGGAAAGAGCGGTCTCTCTTTCTCCAGTTTTTTGTCTTTTCATCTTCTCTCTTTTCATCCGCGATTCGAACGACCTTGGCCACTTCGCGGCGCGGAAATTGCGGCGTGGCATTTGGCAAGACGAACTTGATTCTCTCATAAATCACTTGCCCTTCGGCGACGTTGTTTGCTCGTTATCCGCTCTCCGAACTTGGCAAATGCGATTTTCAGAGACAATTATACATTTCTGATACGTTTTAGTTAACTGTTTGCAGAATACTTACACTAAATAAATAATGTTTTAAAATAAGATACTTAACTTTTAATCTTTAAGTAAAATTTTTAGAGATTCGCGCATTTAGATTAACGATTTTGTCCACCTCGCGCATCGTTATCGGAACGAGATACTCGGCAAGAGGCTGCAGTTGTAACGGATACGGGAAGAGTACGGCACTCACCTCGACAGTATCTTGGATACACAGCCATGAGATACCCTGAGTTGTCTCGAAATGTCGCACGGTCGGACGCCGCTGTGCGCGAGCTCGACGATCCTCTGCCTGACTACATCCGGTAGGGGCCTTCCGTTCACAAAGACGCCACCGAGTTGGTTGACTCCGCCATGACCTGGAAAAATAGGGATCGATAATGCATTAGTCGACTAAGACTTAACTCTTTTAACTCGGCAATAAATCCCAACATAATAACGCTAATATTAAAAGAAATATTCCGTATTGATATAACAAAAACACGCAGTATCGTCACACTACCTCGATTTTAAAAGCTGTATTAGTGTCGCGTACGGATTTAAAAGGTTAATGTAACAGCCATGAACGATCCGCCGTGAAATCACGGTGTTAAACGCGATTTACGTGTGAATCAGGCTTCACGCGCGTGCTAGATCCACGATCGTTAAGAGAAGCTGGTAGAACGGATCGCAAATGTTAATGTAAATCTTCTCTCGAGCGATCTATCGCCACAGAATTATTCCACTTGACGGATTCCGTGAAAGAATGTCGTACCGTTCGTCGACGAAACTTTCTGTTGAGAGAGCGACTTGTCTCTCACGCTTTAGTAGTTTTAAAAGTAATGATTTATTGCACATCTACTTGTATATTTAACGTACCTTTTTATTTGACACATGTATAAATCTATGATATCTAGTCGTAGTGACATAATGAAGCACGCGACGATAGAATGCGTCGGCAACATAACGCTAACTTTAATATTTCTGCCAGTTAATCATTTTCGCAGCATCGAGAAATATTCCAGGGTCAATGTTGCGAGAGCATTCATTATTATTAGTTTACACCCCGCTGCCACTCGTGTCTGTTCTATAGCGCCGCGTTCGCAGGCTTCATTTTCGCGCGTTAAAGCTGCCTAATGCGATAAGTTGGAGCCAATATCGTAATGGAGGGTTCTGCGTCGCGACATATGTTTCTCTGTTCGTGCCAGTGCACCGATGATTCGATGATCACCGTTGTTTTCGAAGAACCTTCAGAGTTAAATTAGCTAGTTCTTATAACAATCTGGCTGAATACTCTTTACTATTCAACACTTGTTCCGATTAATACATTCCTGTTGGAATGAGCAGGTAAATCTAGGAATTACTTTTTATTCATTATAAATAAAATCATTCCTAAGAATTATTCTAGGAATTATTTTATTTATGATGAATAAAATCATTTCTAGATTTATTACTAGGAATATTATCTTATTCCTATAGGAATTATTTTATTTATATACTCTCAAGTTTTCCGACTACAACTATGATCTACGATTTCGACATCTCTTCCATTCGTTACAAAGCTAATTTGAAGGAATTAAACGTGCGACAACGAGTCATCGCTATCGACATCGCTCGCGCGTTCGCATTTCCATCCGAGGGGTTTCGTAATTACGGTAACACCGCGATCTATGAGGCGTGAACCACGACGTTTTTTTGCCATTTGACCGTATATCGTATCGCTCACTCGATGATCTCGCCGTCGCACGAAGACAATGAGGTCTCCGCGATCATTACTGGAAACGATACGCGCTTTCCGGTCGCAAATCAATTCGCTCTCGCGTTTATGGTCGCATCCCCGCGGCGCGGCCGGTAGTCAGGGGGATAGTCGTTGGGATCATGGTGGCATTGCCAGAGCGAAAGCACCATGACTACCCTACACGCACACACGCCGTCACGCCTGCTGACCACAGCTATACGAGGGCTCTGAGTCCAGCCTGGACCACCCCCGAATCGACTAGCTACCGCTACTGCTATTGCTAATGCTACGGGTTTTGCTGCCATCGCTGGAACTGGCTACTGTATTACTGGAGCTTATTGCCACCGTTCCGTGCTTCTGGGATACGTCGAATCGAGAGATGCAGCATCTCGTTCCATGTAATTGCGATTCTCTATATTGTCTATATCCCGCATAACTTTTCCTTTATATCCAATGTTACATGAAAAATCGCGAGATTTGCTGGAAGCTAACGTGATAAACAAAAAAATCAAAACAAGCTTTTGATTTTGATTATCCCGAAGAAGATCGATCATGTTCGTTACTTTTCGTTTTATCTGCTTCGAAGTGTTTCAATATAAATCTCTTATTCAATGAAGCGTCACTTAATAGGATGCGCTCACGATCGTCAATCAACGATTCGCACGTAATTTCGTCGAGCTACATCCAAGTTCCATAAAATCGAATTTATGATTTTATCATCGTTTCAATTGACAATCGGAGAGAGAAAGCCAATAGTGTTTCCTAATCAATCCTAAGCGATTCGAGCCGCCGATATAAAAACGTCGATGCAAAATAAGATGACCTGGCTGTGCGCCGAGCTGCTGCGGACTACTTCCGGACAAATGCGATCCCCATCGGTCGAGTCGCCATTACATTCTCATTACGGACGTGCCCATGTCTCAATGACTACTGTCGTGCTAACGATATCCTTGAAATCTCATCGTCTGAATTGAAATGGCCAATCCGATTTCTGTTATTTCTCAGACCTCATAAAAAAAATCTTCATAACGATTATAAAAAGTATGTATACGAATATTTACGTTCTTAAATGAATAAAATTATTCATGACGCAATGGTGATAATTATAACTTATCAATTTTACAAAATATGTAGATTAATTCTTTTGGACTCAGATATGTCTGAATTAAGATAATCTAAACTTTGTGTATGGAAAATTTTGATTATACACATATGAAGAAACTTATACAGTCTCCATTTCATTTGTGTGTGTTAGGAATCGAGGACCCGAAAAGCTCCAGAGCCAATAAAATGAGCCTTAGTGATACACGATCGGTGGCTCGGTACGTGTGTATATTGGAAGCCAAGAACTTTGATATAGATTCCCGTACAGTCACTCGATATTTCTCCAGCATCGCGCTGCTTTGTTCCCGTATTACATTACGCCTTGGCGTTATGTATTGCCGGCACGCCTGCGAATACGACGGACTTTATTACCTGTTGGTTAGAAAAATACGCGCAGAAATGTAATTCATCGGTATAATATGTGTTGCCTTAGAATTTTACTATTGTAATCAGAACGGGTTAATTAAAAAGTATATCCGATGTCATTGATATATAATAAAGATTTAATTATACCTTCTTATTGGCAGACTATGTAACAAATAATGACACAACGTAATCATCATACAAGATAATATATTATAATGAACACAAATTTTTATACTCTTAAATTTCTAAAGTTATGTGAAAAAGCACACGGTTCGTTAGAGATGATTTTACAACACGTGGCTGGTCAGTGATTGCCATCATTCCTGTTAATATTGCATAGTTATTAATGTTCTATTACATTTACGGATCAGCTGCGCGCTCATGAACACAATGTGCGGTGATTTTAATTACTGCAACTTTAAAGTGACGTTCGAACTCGTCTAATTAATATGACTCGACTACTAATTGAATGGAAATGCTTACGGATCAGAACTCATTATTTTCACGTAATAATCTGCATACTCATACAAAATTACACTAGATATCATTTCTTTATAGACAAATTATGATCATTTGGTTAATAATGTTTCACAAAGAGGAATCAAACAGATTATTATAGAAACTATCGGATGCACATTTTTTTTATAAATTCAAGGGAAGAGAGAGTTTCGAGGTCTTTGCGAATAGCTCCTACGCAGATCGTCGGCTACAATGATTGTGGTTTAGTTTTTCGTCGGTACCGGTACCGCTACGGCTCAGTTAGCGATCGAAGGCCGTTGAATTTCTTGTTTTCACACTCTCGTTTACCCACAGATACCGGATTTGCGAGTCTTTTCTGATTCTCTCATCTTGTTTGCTCTATTTAATCGGTGCTCCGTCGGCGAACTCCAAGAGAAATCGTGTGATCCCGAGAGAATCGTTTTCCACACGAGAACATCGCGTTTCGCGGTACTTTTTGCATTAGTTATTGACATCCGCTGACAATCGCATCTATATCGAACTTATACACAGCTTCGAATCGCGCTAGAAGAAATATACAATATAAAGAATAGGCGGTAAACTGAAAGCAATGGAAAAACTCCTCGTATGAAAAAAAAGTCTCCGATCGCAAGGTTAGATCCATTTATATCTAGATATCTATTAAAATTGTGCCGCTATAGTTGTGGCTTGCCGGAAATATTTATTAAAATGAGCTGAGAATTGATGAACAAATAGAAACATGGCGATTTGACATCCGATATTATTAAATATACATATATCGCAATATTATTAATAGTCTAGCAAGATAATGATCAAGAAGAATTGAATGAGGTATTCTAATAATGTCTTATCCACTGAAAAGACGTTTTGCTGAAATACCTAAAAATTTAGTTAAATATAGATTTGAAAATAATTTTGTTTTGAACTATTAAAATGATTATGTAGGACGTTCAAATAATTGGTTCCTAGAATGTCAAAATTTTTTGCAGCATTGCTCATCATTGAGATTCTTACGTAATTATTTTGATGGTCCAACCAAATTATTTTCGGATCTGTATCTAGTTAAATTTTTAGATACTTTAGCAGAATAGTTCTTTCCGTGTAGCAATACATTTTAATATTATAATTAAATTTGAAATATATCTAATATTAAATCTGTAGACTCGGATGATTATTCAGTCTCGCGTGTTATTGGCAGAAGAGAAGAAAATAAAAAGACATTTATACTAGCGAGGTTTAAAAATACATGTAGAGTTGAATATCTCTTACAAGTGTAATATTCCATCATGTTCTGATTATATCGGTAGGCACTACTCAGAGTAGTGCTGAGGTCCATCGCGGCACTTCCGGGCCCGACGGCCATCGGGAATCCAGCTGTTTGCTTCTCCCAGAGCGGAGCAGATTTTATATGTAACGTATGAAATGCATCCGAAGAACCAGCGGTCCTATTGACCGCCGATGAAGACCTCTCACAGATTTCCAGAAGTGGCTTTCGCCTCTTTTTTACGGGAACGAGGTGAACCGATCTATGGCGACGCGATACAATGACTGTCATCAGGAGCGTCTTTGTGCCGAACGACGGGTGGCTGCGGATACCCGGTCGGCCGTCGCTTCATCTTCGTGAATCAAGCCTCTCGTCGCGCACTGTGGAAAAATCAAATTTAACCTACAACTCGCACGTTCACAAATATC